ATGTCCATTACCCACATTTGTATATTTATAAAGTGTGCATTTACAAAATGTGCAATATAAAAATGGCATATTTTGCAATCATCCTGCAATCATTAAAGGGATAGCATGAAGCTAGAATAAAACAGATTTTTTTTTTTTTGGTCTGGTCTTTTGATATATTAGGCCTACATGTTCAGATATTCATACAACAAAATATTTTGGGGGCCATGAATCTTTTGTGAAAATTACCAAAAATGCTGGCGTAGGCTGGCAAAGTTATATATATATATTTTTTTTTTAAAATGCTGGCGGGGAAAGAGTTAAGGGAACCTGAGATATATCTGTCTCTCCCTCCATGTCTATTCACCCAAAACTCTGTTCATTAGAACATCGTACAATAAATCCATATGATTAGAGCGGTTTAGTCAAAGTCTTCTGAAGAGACACATTTTTATATGAAGACTTTATATGATTTAATTTAACGGATTTAATTCAGGCTTTTATTCACATATAAGCGTTGATCAAGGCACATGCATGGAGCACATCAAAAACGGTAAAGGAAGCTTTAAAAGAAATTGCTTGATGCGCAAAAAACAATATCATTGGTTCTTGTGGTAGCAGACACATGAGAATGAACCTCAAAGGTTTTTACGGAAGCTCAAATGTGCATGCGTGATGCATGAGAACAAACGTTATTGGTTGCGTGTCAAGCTCTTTTGCTATGTCTTTATGAACTTTTTGAAGCAAGTTTTGGTGGAATGGCCTTGCCATGAAGGGACAGAAACTGGTGCCGGGAACAATCGCTCTCGGGCTCGGACCGAAGCAAACGAGCCCAGTGTGAAAGCATTCTTAGTCTGATTAATTGGACGGGTCGTTCAGTCAAACCTGACTAGGCCCTAGTTTTGCGCATGACAACATGATCCCTCTGACTATGATGCAGCCACACCGTGTTTGTTTGTTGGCCAGAAGAGAACTGGTCCCCTGACTGAGCCAAGGTTTCTTTCTCCATTCTGTCCCCGATGGAGTTCGGGTTCCTCGCCGCTGTCGCCTCTGGCTTGCTTAGTTGGGGACACTTAATATTCAACAATATTATTGATCTGACTGTACTGATGAGAACTGAACTGAGCTGGACGATGACGTCCTTTTTTTGCAAAACTGCTTTACAGATAAAATGAACTAATTTAATAATTGATTATCTTTACAATGGAACCGAATCAACACACTGAACATTTTCCTGTTATAATCACTGTAAAGCTGCTTTGAAACAATCTGTATTGTATAAAGCGCTATATAAATAAAGGTGACTTGACTTTTCCCAATTTTCTCCATCCTGTTCGGTTCCTCTCGTGTGCTACGGCTTTTCATGTGATCTTAGGCAAGTCTGGTGATCTGGAAAATTACTGGACATACCAGAGCGGACTGTTTTTAGTGGGATACAGTGAAAAGGGGAGGCATGGCTCAGGAGACTAAAAACAGTAATCACAAGGGCATTCCAACAGGCATATGAATCGCTGACCCGAAGTGAAATGTGGACCCAAGATCAAGTTTCCTCTTGTTCAGACAGATCATGTCATTATTGGACTAAAAAAAAACAACACTGACACAGAAACATAACTAAGACATACATATGAACTCAGAGTCTGTTTGAGGAGGCTCCAAGAGAATCATGGGTAATTTACTAAAACAATGAAGCCTGGGTCTGGGCCAAAATACAAAGGATGACACTCCCAACCCAACAACCACAACTGTACCTTTCTCTCTTTGTGTCTTTAAGGCAGATAATCTCTTCTCAACCAGCAGTTACTTCTGTATATAATGCTGGTGTCAAAAATGGCAGCAGATATGGTGTGATAACTGAATTCAAGTTAAGTAAAAAGCTGAAAATTGTATGCGTATGCATCTCCTTTTTGAGGAAATTCCATTTTCTGAAAAAATTGTGGTACCGGTCACAATGCCAGTTAAAACAGTTACAGTAACCGAGACACAGAGCAACACTCGCTGGCAAACCAATCACAAAACATACTTTTGAGATTCAAAGGGCCAAACCAGCAACTGGCCACCAAACATTTGCATTCTTACCAGTCAGCAACAGAGAAAAGCCTCTGGAGCAGAAGGCCACCTCAAACCACCGCGGCCCGACCGGCTCGCTCTCTCAACACGGCTCCTCACAAGCTATTTTATGAATGAGACATCTGAAATACTCTGCAGCATTCACCAAAGATTCCTACTAACTGATAGCCTGGCTAACGTCAGACCACGTCTCATTGAGACGTGGTCTGGGAACCACATGTTCATTTTCACGTATTTGAGGCGTGGTTTACGAATGCCCAGAGCCGTTTATTGGGTGCTACAAATGTCTATCAAATGCGCCTGTACGTAGCTTATAGCCAATCGTTTCAATTATACCAGATGACGTATGTAGAGCGATATATGATGCTTTTGCCAAAGCCCGTTGGTAGCAGGGCAAAAACATCCCTCTTGGTTATGAAATGGTTTAAAGGGATACTCTACTTTTTTTGGAAATAGGCTCATTTTACAACTCCCCCAGAGTTAAACTGTTTAGTTTTACCGTTTTTGAATCCATTCAGCCGATCTCCGGTTCTGGCGGTACCACTTTTAGCATAGCTTAGCATACATCATTGAAGTGGACAAGACCATTAGCATTTCTCAAAAAAAAATGACCAAAGTGTTTCGATATTTTTCCTATTTAAAACTTGACTCTTCTGTAGTTACATCGTGCACTAAGACCGACGGAAAATGTAAAGTTGCGATTTTCTAGGCTGATATGGCTAGGAACTATACTCTCATTCCTGCGTAGTAATCAAGAAACTTCACTGCCGTACCATGAGTGCAGCAGGCGCAGGCACTTAGTCCCGGTCACGCTGGAAGTTACCGAGCTGGGGACTATTTTCAGGCGCTGCGTCATATCATTACGCCTGCTGCACTCATGGTACGGCAGTAAAGTTTCTTGATTACTATGCAGGAATGAGAGTATAGTTCCTAGCCATATCAGCCTAGAAAATCGCAACTTTACATTTTCCGTCGGTCTTAGTGCACGATGTAACTACAGAAGAGTCAAGTTTTAAATAGGAAAAATATCGAAACACTTTGGTAATTTTTTTTTGAGAAATGCTAATGGTCTTGTCCACTTCAATGATGTATGCTAAGCTATGCTAAAAGTGGTACCGCCAGAACCGGAGATTGGCTGAATGGATTCAAAAACGGTAAAACTCAACAGTTTAACTCTGGGGGAGTTGTAAAATGAGCCTATTTCCAAAAAAAGTGGAGTATCCCTTTAACACCAAAAGCTGCTCTTTTTTTAAAAATAAACTTGCATTCTAAACTACTTAGAACAATATCTAAGACTGCATCGAAAGGTGACTTTGCGTCTGCTGCCATGTTTGATCCATGGGTATAAACAAACTGCTTCGGTGTGTCGCGTAGACGTCGTCATCGTCTTGCTGCTCCCTCCCCGTTCTGTGATTGGTCCCCTCGCTGAGGTGAAAATCTGGTCCATGGAATCCAGACTGCCTAGCAGCGTGAATAAAAACCTAGGCTAACTAACTGATATAATGCTATATCACTTAGAAGAATGCAAATAGTCTGATCCGTCATGAAGCTTCAAGTCTTGTATTAGGCTACATGCAGTCAAAAGTGTAGACACCCGGCCATACATTATTACTTCTTCCACAATTTTAGAATAGTAAAGTTATTAAAACTATGCAATCATGGAACACCAATATATGGGAAACAAATCACACCAAAACTCTTATATTTCAGCTTATTCAGAGGAGCCACTATTTACCTGGATTCTACCAGCTTCAAGAGGTGCATCCTGGGATGCTTTGTGAATGCTTGACACTTATTGGCTGCTTTGCCTTCATTATCAAGTCCAACTCATCCATTTAAAGGTGCATCACTGACACCATTAATATATTTTAAATAAGCTTTTAGTTCATCATAAAAAAAAAACAAATTTTGTTGACTAGGCTAAAATTGTATATAAAGTGTTAGTTAGTTAGTTAATACAAAGTCAAAGTGTTACATTTAGCCTACCATTTAGATGCCTTATGTTGTCATACACAACAATATGTACATGTAGCCTATATTATTATATATCGTGGGTCTCAAACAGGGGCCTTGGGGCCTTAATCTTCACAGGGTACCAAAGGATGAATTAAATTAAATTATTTATTTATTTTCTAAGTATTGGAATACAGATTTTTTTATTACATAAAATACAATTAAATAAATGATGAAAGATTAATTAAGTTTTGATTTAATTTTTATGTACTAAAAATAAATACAGATTATTTCTGTAAATACAAATTGTATTATGAAAGATGAGTTTAATTATTTTGTATTATTTATGTATTAAAAAATAGATTAATTTAATGAATTATGAATGATAAATTAAATTATGAATTTATTTAAGACGAAATCTAACTAAATTAAAATATTACACACACACACATACAGTGTATATATATATATATATATATATATTAGTGCAAGTATTAGTAATATTAGTGCAAGTATTAGTGTTGTCAAATCGATTAATGCATCTAACAAAATTGTGATACACACACATATATATATATATATATATATATATATATATACACACACACACTTTTATTATATAAACAAACTTATATTAATCGATTTGACAGCACTAAGTTGGAAAATAAGCAGGTTTGTCATCATTACAGGCACAGCAAAAATATAGGAATATTTAGCCTATGGGAACCCCTGTTCTATAGGATACGACATACTGAATGTTGAGTTTAACTGAATGCGTGAGTAATATCTTATCTAAAATGGCACATTATGACAGTGAATCACGTCAATCGCACTACTGTGAAACCGTTAAAACGTCTCCTGAAAGCAGATGTAAAACCAACAAATGAAATCACATGGACTATTTGTGTTTACAAGTTACCACAGTGATGTGAAATAAACATGGCCCATCAGCTCTGGCTTCATATAAAATCAATAGCTCTTCTGGATTGAAGATTTACCTGTGAAGACAGGTGAGCTGGGGCTGAGCCTCTCTGGAGACAGCCTGTCATGTTCAGGGGTCTGGAGGTGTTTGGCCCTGAGACCGCAGGACCACAACGACGAGGAGGAAGACGATAAATTAGAAGTAAGGGCTAAAGTGTCCCAGTTGCAGCTGATCTGCTGGGAGGGAGAGCAGCACGGGGGGCTCACGTGCACACCTGTGTAGGGTGATGACGAGGATGCCACAGGTACCTGCGCGTGGGACACTCTAGGGTTTGACGCGTGCACGGCGATAATGGGGCTAGTTCTTGATGATGATGATGATGATGATGAAGATGAAGATGATGAGGAGGAAGGAGCGGAGGAAACCGCTGTGGCCGCGATGAACTGTGAACACGTCGCAGAGGAAGTGGACGTGGCTGCAGAAACGTTTGAGGCACTGGAGGAAAGGGATCGCGTGGGGCTCCGGCTGTGGGATCCGCTGCTGTGGCATTTACCGTTAACGTTACCGGTGGAGAGGACTGTCCGTGTCTGTAGAGGGTGCTGTGTCTGCGTTTTCAGCTGGAAGGGAACCGTGGCTTTCATGGGCAGCAGGCGACCCAGTGAACTCACTCCAGCGGCGCTGATCCCCGGGGATCCGCTCGGGCTTCCCGCGGTCACTCCGCTGCAGTTAGACGTCGGAGATCCGTTTTTGCGAACTTTTTGAGACATTTTGTTCGCTGGGGAATCACACAAATCTCAACATGAACACTTGAAACGTACGTTTACGGCTTTCTGGGGTGGTTAATGGTCTTTGGTGCCCTTGTCACTCCATGTGATGTCTGCCTTCTGCTCCCTGACTGGCGAAGCTGCGCCGTTTCGCGAGCTCAAGTAAAACTGAGAGAGAATCAGAGCCACGCACCGTCAACTCGATCCAGCGCTCTGCCTCCTCGCCTATGATTGGCTGTTCGCTCTCCCCTCTCAACTTCCGATTGGCTAGAAAGTGGGTTCTCTAATTCCGTATAGTTCATTATAATAGTATTATGAGGAAAAGTTTGTACCATTTCGCAACAAAAAAAGAAAGAAAAAATAATTATGATTTATACTGGAGTTTTACAGGATTTCTTCACCTTATGTGTGACACCACAATTGATTGATCGTAAAAAATTATCCGTTATGTTACTTTGTTTGCATATTTTATTCAGGAATTAAACTTCAGCCTTCACTCACTGTTCTGAATCTGTTGTCGTTTTGTTTTTTAAAAGGCTGCATTTTCTTTCTTTCGGAGTAGTAAATCACATGTGCTTATTAAAAATTAATAATAATAGGCTACTGTGTTATGTACTTGTGTGTGTTTATACATCATCTAAAATAGCCTACTACACACGATCATTGCATGCGTGCACACAGCAAAGTAAAACTTTAATCACTGTTATCTGAATGGAAACTTGTGTGAGGAGGACATGCTTTTGGTCATGATTCTGTGGTTGCCTTTACCACCCTCGTGTGGCCACGTAATAAAATTAAAAACTTCAGTGTGGTTTTTAAATGATCCTAGAAATTTTACATTTTCTACCAGGTAAGTGGAAACAAATAACAAGTAAACGTCATGTACAGGTTTTCATTAATATAATCTTTAATCAACTGAGTAACGCAGGGTTGTACAGCAAGCTTTATTTTCTAAATGGCATTTTAAAACATCTTCTGAATAGACTAAAAGCACGAGTTATCGTTTGTTCTTTTTCTCAAAGTGCTTACTTTACAAGCTGTAATAGAAAACATGTCGGTGGCTTTTTTTTAAACATCCGTCTATGCAGGGGCCAAATGAAAACTTTAGCTTCAATATGAACTCAAAAGTTAAAAAAACAAAACAGCAGCTTGTCAACAGACCCTTCATTCATTCACTCATACACACACCCAATATACAGTTGATACTCCAAGTTTGTTTTATGGGGACACATTGTTAACCATTTTCATGTTGGTTTTGCGAGTTTAATGAGATCCAATCGCTGTAGGATTCAGTAACTGATTCATTTCAACTTTAAAGAGTTCGACTTTGTTTGGTTAAAACCATCCTGCAACCTGACTGAATTAAAAAAGTCTTAACTTCTCAAGGCCTGCTTCCAATATAAACAAGGCATGTAGGGTTTATGCATGTTTTGTAGAGTATTGTCTGTAAATGATTCGGTATTCATCAGCATGCTGTAAAACTGGACAATGGCTCTGGTGTAAACATCTTGCATTATTAACAAGTAGCAGATGGACAGTCCTCCAGAACAAACACTTCAAATGACTCAGCTCAGCACGACTCCATGTTTTAGCCACAATACTTTGGTCTAATGTCCTAAACGTTTGTTCATTTTATTCAAATTAGCATTGGAGGTTTGTTATGACGTTTATTATGCAAGTCATCCTCATTTCAGCTCATGATCTTCTGTTTGACTCCAGCATTCACACTGACGTATCTAACTGAGAACAGTCTGACTTTACTGTGTTTATCTTCAGATAAATCTCACAGTGATTTAGCGTTGTTCTTGGTCCCAAAGCAACAGATGAAGAGTCTATATATGTGCATACAAATGCACTGTGTATTTACACTACAGAGGTTAGACTATATTACAAACATATACAAAAGTCAGACTGAAGCACTGTTGTTAGAATTGAAACTCCACTATATAGCCTTATTTACAGACAGAAAAAGCCAGTGGAGGGGAAACAAATCTGATGACTTTTTGAAAATTCCCCACTCTGAAGTGGTCAAAGTCCAAACATAATGCGGGCTTGTGCCAAATCATGGTTAATCCTCACATTCATTATAGAAAATGCATACAGCACGGTAAGCGCTCTCTGATTAAACGCATACTATCTTCATTTCTTGGGAAGCAGGACCTTGCTATTTGAGTTTCGTCATCACTATGCAATTATTTAAATGGCTCGTGTCCATAGATTTTCGAAAAAAGACAAAAATATGAGGCCCATGTCATGGCTGTTAACTCTCAAAGTGTAGATGATTTCAAAATTAGGATGCGACACCGTTCTGAACGTGTCAATCCCTACCCGATTGAACACGATTGACTTGAAAAATAAGGGTAGAAGGGTAAAAGAAACTACATGTTTCCAATGTATTTGATTGAAAGTATCATTCAAATAAGATAATTTTACATGATTATAAACAACTTACTGATTAAACTTCATGAGAACAATGAACCAAGAGCGTGGCTACTACATAAATTAAACACTTAAAAAAAAAAGGATAAAATCATGATTTCTTATTGTACACTATAATGTCACTTGAGCTTATCTTTAACAGAAGCTAAAACCGAACTAAAGTAGCTAGCTGTGAGCTTCAGTCTGTACATGCTGTATATATTTTGTTCATGGCGTATGTATGTGTGTGTTCGCTTTCTGAAGCACACAGAGCCACGTCCACTGTCCTGGCAGCAATGGGAAGTGGAAAGTCTCATTTGACTGATGCCTTGTTAGCAGTGATTTGAGGAGCTCCGCTAAGCAGAAATAGACCCATACATACACATTTACATACACTCTCACAGAGGTAAAACTGCACCGAGCGTGTGCAGAGAGGGACTTGATTATTCAGTGTTTTCAGAGAGTATGACTTCCAGCAGAAAGTCCAGGTTGATGCCTGACTTGTAGTGTAACAGACAAAAAAACAACTACTGTCCTCCTTGAAGCTTGTGAGAAGTCATCCATTATGAACTTCCAGTACTTGAAGCAAACACCCCAATATTTTCAGTTTACTTCCCTTTTCAAGAATGATGGGATTGGTGAAAAGGTGTGGGATTGTCATTTGTGCGATGTTTCGATGTTTCTCAAACGCAGTCGTGGTGGCCGAATGAACACAGGATTGCCACTGCTAAGTGCAGCGCTTCGAAACACTAAACTAAAGACAAGAATGCGGCAAAACACATAGCAAAATTAAATTGTCTTATGGAGCACCTCAAAGCTAAAGTCTATTGCACATTTCAAAATATGATACAAAACTGAGTACATAGATACGTACAACAAATACAAAACATATGGATGTACTATGGGTTAAACGTTTTTAAAGATGCAGTCAACCCTGTCTTAAAGACCACTGCCTTTTTTTAAATGGACATGATTTTAGTTTCGTCCAATCTACCATGATTGTTAAATCAACAAATTGTCGTTTGCGTTTTTTTCAGTTTTAAGACCAGTCTGGTCGGAGGATCCGTGATTAAGATTACTTACAAAAAAGTGCAACAAATGAAAGAACAACTGTAAAAACAAATCATACTTGATTGAAAATGAAACGACAAAAACAAATGGAAGCATTTTATGCCAATGTTGCTGCATAGCTGGGTTCGGTTTAAAGCGATTTCTTCAAAACAAGTTGGAGAAGTTCGACAACGTTAAGTGCTTGCCAAATTACGTCCCGTCAAGAGTCTGCTTTCCAAAAATTGTTCTTTTCGTCATCAGCTGGATCAGGTCTTGGAGCACAATAGCATACACAAACCCCTCCTGTGTTCAAAGTCTGACCTGGGCTCGTCCTCAGAGGAAAAGCGGAGGTGCGAGTTCACAGGCAGGTCATTTCTGGCGGGTCGGAGGTTAGAGCGGCAGTCGCGGTTCCGCTGCTGACCAGGAACACAGCGATGCTGGATTTTGATTGGCCAGAACTTGGGTGGCCGCCTCCAGACACTGCCATCCCCGTCTGCTGGCTGTGCCCGTTGTTGTTGACCTCTCCATCCAGCGTTTCTGTAGAGACGACCCAAGTGGAAGGACGCCACCTTTTCAAAGAATAAGGTGTCTTCACACGCTTCTTTATCTTCTCGGCCGATCCAGCTTTTCCCTCTTGTGACACGACCTCATCTAAAAGAGAAAAGAGTAGGATTTAAACAAACATCCTTGATTGCAGTCCTACACGACAATAAAAAACAGTTGTGTGTTTTGCAATCTGCCGACTGGGAATACTAGCAGAACTGCTCCAAACATCCCGCCCAGTGAAGCACCAGAGAGTAGTATTTCAGCACACTCAAATTTGTGGTTGACCTTTCCCACACTAACTCTCTCAGTGTGCGCTCGAGTCTGAATCATCGGGTTCGAGCGGTTCACGTCTCTGTTCGAGTCCGCATGAGGAATGTAAACACGTGAGCAGCATGACTCCTTGTTTTTTTTCGTCTTCCTGTTTAGCGTCTGATCCAGGGGTTTCAGTTAACAGTGATAGACACGTCATCACATTCACATCTGTCTGTTAGCATCGCTCTCTATCGCCGCTGCCAACTGAGGCCGAACGTTTTCTGGATTCTTATCAATCCAGTGGAATTTCCTTCCTTCTCCACATCTAAACACTCCATCACAAAGAGCAGGAGAGCGGGGCAGAGAGCACGATTAGCCACTCATCCCGTTTTCTATGAAACGTTTGGCTTATGAGGAGATGTGCTCTTAATTATCAGGGCAAAGCAGGATATAGTGACCTCAGATGGGAAAACAGCCTGGCGTCTTCTTTTGGGTGGTTATTGTTTTTAGTCAGGCTGACACGCACACTGAAACAGTGTTTTGAGTCTGTCTCCAAACTCATAACAACACTGGTCAACTGATACAAACATACCAATGGTGATTTATGTAAGACTGCACTGGAAATACAGCTTTCCCCAATATAACAGTTTTTATTCCTTGATAAGATAAGGTAAATTTGCTTTAATCTACATGAACTACAGGATTACGTGAATGCATAGAGCGCCACTGAAGTGGGAACATATACTACCTTTCCAAAGTTTGGGGTCAGTAAGATTGTTTTTCTTTTTGAAAGACATCACAAGGGCACTATTAGGAAACGTATGCCCTTTTTAATGCGCTAAGCAAAACAATGTAGGCCTACTGGAAAAAAGTGAATGCAGTTTTTAAAATTAAGGAGAAAAAACTGCTAAATTAATGCCTGTAAATGATGTACACTACTGTTTAAAAGATTAGGGTCAGTAAATATATTTCAATAAAGGCTGTTCTTTTATACTTTATATTCAATTGTTTTCAACATTGCCAATAATAAGAAATGTTTCTTGAGCAGCAAATCAGCATATCAGAATAATTATTTCTGAAGGATCATGTGACACTGAAGACTGGAGTAATTATGCTGAAAATTCAGCTTCACCATTACAGGAATAAATTCCATTTGAAAATATATTCAATCGGAAATTGTAATAATGTTTCACAATATTAATAATTTTACTGTATTTTTGCTCAAATAAATGCAGCCTTGGTGAATAGGAGACTCCAAAAACAACAAAAAAAATGTTCAGGATTTTTTTATGAATAGAAAGTTTAAACGAACAGCATTTATTTGAAATAGAACACTTTTGTAACATTATAAATGTCTCGACTGTCACTTCTGATCAATTTATATATATATATATAAATGATCCTTTAAAATGCTGTCTAGGTATAAAACAGGTCTTACCTAAGGAAGATGAATCCTGGGAAGTGGCTGACAGGTCCAGTGAGTTTGGCCGCTCAGGTCTCCTGGGTTTAGGCTGCCTCAGTGGAACCCCATCAGCCCTTCCGTCTAGTGCCCCAAGAGAGCAGGTTAAAGTCTCCATCTGGGCATCTGCAGGAGCTAACGTACGAACCGTGGCAGAGGCATGAGTCGTGTGGATGTTGCTGTTGTTGTTATTTGAGTTGGTGCGGCTGGAATGATCGCGCGCGGACGGCTGCTCTCTCCTCAGCAGTGGCTCGTGTTCGTCGGGGCTGGAGTTGATGTTGATGTTGAGACGGCTGTCTTCTCCACTCAGCTGGCTCTGGAGCAGAGGGGCAACCCCCTCACCCTGTGGCCCGGCTGGGTTTGTGTTTCCAAACGCATCAGAGGAACCGGCGCCGTTGCACCCACCATATCCGTTAACAGCAACCACTCCGACGCCACTACGGACACTGGGACCATTGTTAGTGACGGTGACCAAGTGTGGCTCGACGGCCACTACAGCGTTCATCTTGGCTACGCCCGTCTCCACCTGCTTCAGGTTGGACTTGTGCTTGCCGAACTTCAAGCGTGACGAAGAGGACTCCCTGCTAGGATTTTTGGTGTTGAGGGGTAGGCTGGTGGGCCGCTTGGGGAGATTCTGCTGTTTGGGGAGTGGGAACATGGCTGCAGGAGCGTCAGCCATTCCACTGCTGCCCACGCCGAAATCAGCCTGACCACTGGCCGCGGACCCTCCGGTCACTTCCACGGCGAGTTTGATCAGTGGGTACAAGAGGCTGGAGCTGCCCGAGCTGAGCGGGTCGGGAGCGCTGAACTGCTTCTGCGAATGCTCCATCAGGTTCTCATCAGAGCTTTCTTTCAGGTTCTTGTCCACCTCTTTGGGGTCCAGTTTGGTAGTCTCCAAGTCTTCCTCTGTGAGCTGCAGGCACACTGGTACAATTCCTCCAGCTCCTGCTTCCTCCGAGTGGCCTGATTCAGAGATGGTGGTCATAATGGTGGTTGGCGTGAAGCCCGTCGTAGTGGTCGTGGTGGACAGGCTCGTGCCGCTGGTCTCCGGGCTGGGCAGCCGAGCTTGTGCCTGAGCCTGCTGTCTCTCATAGTTGATGGAGTTTCTGTTCTTCTCTCCTGTCGCTGTCACGCCACTGCTAATGCCGCTCACGGCCATGCCCCCCACAGAGGAAGTGCCAGACGTGGAGACGTCACCTGGGAGGTTCTTCACCATGCCCTCATGATCCTCGATGTAAGAGGATGAAGAGTAATCTGGATAAGAGCCCACTTTGGGAGCCCTGCGACTGTGGGTGAGATTCCTACAAAAACAAAGAGAGAACCAATCAAAAAGGAGAACAGATGGTTAATTTACTTAAAGGTGCTGCAAGTACGGGATAACATGCAGGTCATTATTGCAAAATAAAACCCAACAGAGTTATACGAACCCTGTGGAAAATGACCCTGAAAAGTAAAAAAAAATAAAAAAAAATGACTGACAATATATTATCCCACTTATTACAGATGTATAATACATATTTGTATATATTATATATTTTGATACATATTTGTATATCTTACATTATACCTTACACAGTACAAATGTAAAATTACATTACTAATATTTACTTCTTTGTTTTCAAACGTTAAACCTTCGAGTTTTTATTTTGGTGGGAAAACCGTAGGAAGTCCTTAAAGCTTCTTTTTTGTTAACAACAGCCGGCTTATAAGCGCTTCTCATCACAAGTTTGGGAAAATGGTTGGTGCATGTTGCGTTCCCAAATGCACATTATAAGCAACCCAAGCTCAAAGCACATCCATAAATGAGTTTATGTGGAGTAGCATTACAACAAACTGAGCCTCTCTGAGACACTGAAAACACCAGATCATGAGCTGCTCGTAGGTTGAGTTTGAACTAAGCCATTTTGCACTTTTGGTTTTATTTAGATTAATCATGCAGCCCTACCTTACAAATAGATTAGCTTAAAGATTCTGATACAAAAAAATATATGACATTTCAGGACACCTAATTCAGTGAAATATGTTATGTGTGTAATAAACACAAGGCAGTCTCATTGTGAGACTGTGCAAGGTGTGGTCAGACCTCTCGTTCTGCAGTGCTGTGCTCATGGGATTGATGGTGGGGCTGACAGGTTTGTTCCTTTCCCAGATCAGGAGCAGTTCTGCCATACGCTCCTCTGCACACTGGGCTGTCAGGCGAGCCTCTGCGTCCTGATCCCAGCAATCCTCCATAGTCTCCTTTAGAGAGCGCACAGCCTGGGAAACAAGAGAGTCAATGAGTGGATGACTTACTGGCAGTATGCTAGTTCTGTGCCTTTGCTATATTGTTTGCTTACTGGCCCAAGTCTGTTTATTCTGGTCACTAGTTACGGCCTTTAATGTAAGTCTATGGGCAGAAATGGTTTTCGAGGGATGAAATCATTCAGCAAAACAGTGCTTCTCAGATGACGCGTTTTGACTGTGCAGAGTCTTCCGCGCAGTCAAATGCACACAAGCTGGATAAGCTACAACAGGACAGGTAAACATGTCAGCAGAGTGGATTCATTTACCGTGACCAAAAATTATGCTAGTGTCATTCAAATATAAAATTTGTTCAGCTGAAATATTGAGAGGCAGCTTGTTGCCATAGAACTTTACGACAACTGGTTTAATTTACCTAACTTTATGTTCAGTTTCAGTGTTTAAGTAAGCATTTCAGTGCATCATTCATTTAAAAGGAAGCATAAGAAAAGTTTGTTGTCACAGCAGTAGTTTATAGATCATTTCAGATTCTGTTGTAAACATGCTGCTGAAAAGATCAGCATTTGTTGCGTTGTGTACTAATGTTGTCTTTGTTGCTGATGTGCTGGTGTCTCTAACAGGATAGATCATTAGTTTAAGCCTTAGTTCACCCAAAAATTTAAATACTGTAGGCTACCATTTTCCCAACCTCAAGTTGATTTTCTTTCTTCTGCTGAACACATATTTCGATGAATATGGGTAACGTAGTATGGAAAAAAAATACTATGGACATCAATAGGTTCAATCAACTGTTTGGTTACCGATATTCTTCAAAATATCTTATTTTGTGTTCAGCAGAAGAAAGAAATTCATATACTGTAGATTTGGAACAACTTGAGGGTGAGTAAATTATGACAGAATTTTTTATTCTTGGGTGAACTATCCCTGTAACCAGTAAACTTCCTTGGATGACCAGCTTCACCAAAAAGACTAATTCAGCCAATGACTGTTAACCAGCCAAACTGTAATGGTGAACAGCATGGTCAGCCAGCAAGACCAGCAATAATTGGCTCGGACTTCATGGTCTTTTCATGGTGCTCCACGCTTTTCCACTTTCATTTGATTTGAATAACTTTCAACAAGACAGAATTTAGGAACTGAGGCAACTGAAGTGAATATAGGGCTGGGAAAGATCTTCAGCTGAAGTTGCTGCAATAATCTGACCACTTCCTGTGACAAGAACAGAATGAGATTGTCTCAGTGGCTCACCAGGCTGTTCTCCTTCCAGGCTTCTGGGAACTTCGGCCTCTGTTTCTCTCTGGACACCAGCACCTGCATGTCCTCAAAGGAGGGGTGGTTCCCCGCCTCGGCCTGGAAGGCCATCTGGTATTCTGGCACTGCCTCCCCTTCAAAACAACAACAAACAAATAAAAGGAAAGTCAGTCAGTCAAGAGACCTCCACATTGCTTAAACTCACTAGAATTACTGAAAAATACTCTTATATGATGTGGCACACTCATAATCCATTAACATAACGAGGAGGATATACAACAGAGGCTTTGTTACGGTGGTGTGGTGTTTAACCTTTAAGGCTCAAAACGAGTGAAGAGAGTCAACATGATGTCCTCCAACCGGTTGATTACTATAGTCAATATTTTCTATAGTGAGTGAACTAAGAAACAACTTCTCTGCGAGGATTTTAGCATGCTGTTACACTCTCTTGAGGAAGTTACATCTAAATTCACCCCAAACCCTAAAGTACCGCCGCTACAATCTTCAAAGCACTGCTGTTGAAGCAAATTCTCTTTCAATAAAAAACATAGACAATTATAGTCGGACTTCCTGCTGTGAGCATTATCCATAATCCAGAACTCTTTTTTTGAGGACTGCAATCATTTTGTGCTACAAAGGTTATATATTACGATAGCAATAATAGGATGGAGGCACTTCATGTTGGGTGGTTCTTTGCCTCCTTGTCGTGCATTACAATCAATTAATGCTCACTAAGCTGTGGATTATCCTTCTTATAACATGGAGATATGATAAGACACTGAAACTATCTTAAGTTACATGCTACAGTTGGTTCTGCTTAGCCAGCAGTATACAGTAGTGTATCTATATGCTTGCTGTTGTACGTGCACAGTTGCAGTCCTCACCTGGAAAAAGATCAGTGCACCTCATGAAGGTCTCCCAGTAGATGAGGCCGATGGCATACATGTCCACCTGTTTCAAAGCCGACTCGCAGTCCCTGAGGTTCACCGCTCCCTCCAGCACTTCCGGCGCCATGTAGCGGATGGTGCCAACCTAGACAGCAGAACAGAGCAGGTGTGAGGGGAAAGGTGTGCTGTCATGTTGGGTCTGGATCAGCAGTTCTGGACACCTCATTCTCAGGTGAATACCAACATGGCCTAAATTTCAGCAGCTTTAGGTTTGTTATAATGTTCCAGTTAAGTGAGTGCTTATGTGCTGACCTCACTGATGGCGGCGTTTTCCTCTTCACCAGGCCGTACGAGGCGATTCCCTGTCAGTTTCATGGACAGACCAAAATCGCTAATCACACTCGTGCCATCATTCTTCACCAGAACATTACGGCTGTTTAGATCCCGGTGTGACACGGCAGGTTTATATACATCTGTGAAGAAATTGTGGTTTCACACAGTTGTTTCATAGAATCATCAAGGCTGTCGCACCTCTAATGATGTGAAAGTAAAACAATAATCTGAAGTATCAGATTTATTTAAAAAATTAATATTTTTATTCAGCAAGGATGCATTCAATTCATCAAAAATGACAGTAAATACTTTTAAATTGTTAGGAAAGATTTCAATTGTAAATAAATGTTTTCTTTTGAAATTTCTGTTCATCAAATAAACCTGAAAAAAATCATGCAAGCAGCGCAAATATTCTCTATAATATATATCTAATAATATGTGTTTCTTGAGCATCAATTCAGCATATTAGAATGATTTCTAAAGGATCATGTGACACTGAAAATTCAGCTTTGCCATCACAGGAATAAATTACATTTTAAAATATATTCAAATACAAAATAAACAGTTATTTTAAACTGTAATTATGAAGCCTTGGTAAGACTTGTTTAAAAAGAAAATCTTACCAACTCTAAACTTTTGAACGGTAGTGTATGTACACACTATTGGACATTTTTAGACAAATTAAATAAATCAGTGTTTTAAGAGAGTCCACAGGGTCAAAAGGAACCCATATATTGTTTTTGTGGAGTCTTTACAAACCACTTGAACCAGCAGAACCAGCAGAGGGCGCTGTCAGAAGCACATGATGTGAGTAATAGTTTCAGAATGAATGCCCTCTCTCCCAGTCATCCCCCCATCCTCCACATGCTGGCTGTCTGGCTCTAAAGTTCAGCCAGTAATGAGGGCAGTGGCAGAGCAATCTGAACCGCGGCTGTACCGAGATCAGCTCGTAATGACGGCAGGCGCAGGAAGCTGGTGGACGGCTGCTCTGAGATCAGTTCGTAATGAGGGCAGGACCAGAGACAGAGTGGGAAATTAACTTGAGATCTGATGAGCTGCAGATTGTCTGTAGATCTCTGGCGACGCTCCAGCACCCAGAGAAACATGAGGAGCGTGACGCACAAACTAGCCAAGTGTTATCTCTTTTGCACCGCGTTCTGGCCCTTTAAGGCAAGACGCTACAGTCAAAACCAATTTTTTTTAAAGCAAACAACTGTCTTAATGTACTGGCCAAAGTATTGTGATATCTATTAGTAGAACATGTGCTGTCTTACCTCAAGGATCATTGGAAGAGCCAAAGACTCAATTAGAATTGATTGCCTAATTAAAAACCCTGAGCCTCTTTCATTTCAGACAATGTTTTAGGTAACTGGCATATATCAAACTGTCCATCCGCATAAAATATTTCTTCCAGCTGTGAAACTCCAGTGTGTACGCGCGTGCTCAGCATTATGAACTACACGCTGTCATTCTGTTGAAGAGTCATAAAAAATGAATAGTCTGAGATTCATGTTACAGAAAACATTCTGTCTGACCCAGATGTGCAGATTAGAGAAGGCAGCCTCCATTTGACATAGTCCACTGGCCCGCCGATGGTCTTTGGGTGGATTCTCCAAGCTTTTTTTAACCCATGTGGTTAGACACACATTCCTGCTGGGCTACGGCATTAAAGGGGTTCTTCGCTGCTAGCAAACTGGGCTTTCAATAAAACTTGGCTGCATGTGCAACAGAATCTTTTTTTTTTAAATCTGTGCTACCTGACTAGAGAAAACAAAGATCATTTTTCCCCTTTTGCCAAATAGGTAGGAAAACCCATAATGCACTGGGCATGTTGCCATCCAAGACCACTTCTGCCACTCTAGTATGGATACACTTACCAGAGACAACAGAGTCTTGCTTTAGTAGGAAATACGTCTTAGCAAATTTTTAGTTATAATGGTGTCTACTTTATAACTTACTTTTCACGAAAGTCCTGGATCTGTCAAAAGTCCGCTGGATGACACGTTTTACGTCATCCGACAGACTATTGCTGACAAATAAATATGAACTTCTCTGTCCAGGTAACAAACATTGTTCATTTACATATACAACCGACATTGTAACAATACAAAGTGGGTTGAAAATCGGCAAAATAACACTTTAAGTGTTGTGTCTACAGAACTCAAGAACCATTTATTAACGAAAGCAGCACATACAGAAAACGAGGACAACAGAACATTCACCTTGACCAAGACTGTATTCAACCTCAATTTTTCTTCTACATGACTCTATTAAAATGCTTGTCATATATTATATGAACACATCTGCGCCTCCAGGTCATGTTATGATTTATATCTCCCACAAGACTTCTGCTAAATGATATGCCAATCAAATTCATGGTAAAGTCTGTTAACACTCAAACTGAAAGAGAACTACTTTCTTATTTGAAGATTTTAACAGAATTTTAAATAGCGATGAATGTATGATCTTCTTCAAAGTCTCCTAGTGGTCAGAAGACACGTTCATATGTTCGTATTGCAAGCTGGTACAAAATGGAAAAGGGGTCACATTATGATTTATTTCTCCCATGAGACTAAATTATATGCCCATCACACCTGTGGTGAATGAGACATCAATTCTTAGCCTAAACCCACCTTTTTATTATTATATTAAAACGTTTTAAAAAGTATCTTATACTCACCCAGGCTGCATTTATTTAATAATAAAAAAAAAAACATTAAAACAGTAATTTTGTGAAATAATACAATTTAAAATACCTTGTTTTCTAATGAAATGTATTTATTCCTGTTACTCCAGTATTGAGTGTCACATGATCCTTCAGAAACCATTCTAATATGCTGATTTGATTATCAAGAAACATTTCTTATTATAATCAATGTTGAAAACAGTTGTGCTGTTTAATATTTTTGGAAAACGTGATACATTTTTTTTTCTGGATTCTTTGAATAGTTGTAAAGAACAACATTTATTATAAATATACATTTTTGTAATATTATAAATGTATTTACTTTCGATCAATATAATTTGTCCTTGCTGAACTTAAGTATTCATTTCTTAAAAAAAAAAAAAATTCAGATACTTCCACACTAGCGTATGAAGATGTGAAATCAATCGGGGTCAGATGGTTGTTATACTCTCACATCATTAGAGGTGTGAACCGTGAAACATTTCTTTAAATTTACTCCATTTCATTGGAATCTTTGATAAAAAAAATGTTCAAAAGAACAGCATTTATTTGAAACGGGTCTCTTATGTAGCATCATAAATGTCTTTAGTCACGTTTGATCAATTTAATGCATCCTTGCTGAATGAAATTATTCAAATCTTACTGACCCCAACCTTGAACAGTAGTGCATTTTGTTTTACTCATTTATGATTCCCCCCCCCCACCCCCCCTCCCTCCCACCCAAAAAATCTAATGCATTCCCGTCCTTCATCTTTAAACACAGATATCAAATGGTTTTTAGCACTAAGGCTTTATTCCTTCAAACGGGCAGCAAAATACTGTATACTGCAAGCAAGGTGGTGGAAAATGAAAAAGTAGTTGAGTTAAGGATGTGTGTAGAGGTGAGCCTCACCTCCTCTCAGGAGCTCAGTGTGCAGGTAGGCCAGTCCTCTCGTGAGCGAATGTGACAGACGACAGCAGCTCACCCAGTCCAACGTGTGCAGACTCAGGTACCGACACAGAGAGCCCTGCAAAAACAGTCACAATACAGTTAAACTAGCACGCACACACACACACACAACCTGTAAATCCTGAAACACGCCACTAAAGGGGTTGTAAAAGAACATGGGAGTGATGATGGTTATAGCAGGAACTCTTTGCTTGCAGAAAATAAGAACTGCGCTTTTAACACTGCTCTACAACAATGTTGCTTCTTTTCCACAGAACTCAGCATTGCTTTTACACTAGCATTTCAAATCTCTGTAGAGCAGATATGAAGCTTATAAAGCTCTTGAATAATGAATCGGAGCTTCAACAAAGTTGTAATGTAAAGCCGCCTGCAACTAATCACTGCCTCAGGGGTATTTAGGCAACGCAATTAAAACTAGTCAACAAACATAACAGAGAATTTTTTCCAAACTAAACTATTAAATAAGACTGTAGATTAGATTTGATTAGTTAAACAGGAAGCATTTGAACATGCAGTACACACGAGCTGCTGTAGAGAGGCAGATGTAATTATGTGGGTTGTAGAAATATCCATAACTGTCAAACTAAGAACAAATTCATGGTGGGGCAAATATTGTGGCATTCTGCATATAACATTAAATTGTTAGGTCACTTTGCGCAATAACCAATAACATTAGTCTGGAATACAGCATGTATAAAGAATATGCCATGCAGTTGCCCTACACAAAACAAATATTTACATGTAAATTGTATTTTTACAAAATTAAACAAAAAAATACGATATTATGATATAGTTACAAAATACAGTCAACAATTGTATTTATTGTTAGCATATAAGGTAACATAATATGGTTAAAACATAACTAAAATCAACAACAAATGTTTTAAAAAAGATTGACATTTAAGGTAATATTAAAACGTGGCTACAATATAACTAAAATATTTTATTTTTGTCGGCACGGATAGCCTCGTAGGCAGCGCACGACATATAGCGCGAGTCTGAGTCCTGGCTCGCGGACCTTTCCCGATCCCGTCCCCCTCTCTCTATACCACTTCGCTTCCTGTCTGCTTGCTGTCCTATAAAAATAAAAGGCCCCAAAAAAATTGGAAAAAAAATTAACCTAAACCTAAAATAAACATCACATAATTTAAAATGTACAAAATGATTAACATATAATGTAATGTTACAATATAAGTTATATTGTAAGCATATTATTATATTACCTTAAACGTTGATATATATACACTTGTTGTTCATTTTAATTGTATTGCATTTAGTTGTATCGCAAACTGCTTCTGTGTTAAACTGAGCTGAATGCTACCGATAACAGTACACAGATCAAGAGATTTTCGACCCATCATCTAGGATGGAGGGGTACAAGAGAAAACAAACAGACTGCAGGGCGCTCTGGGTAGAGGAATGATTATCTACCTGTAAGTGTACATCAGAGCCATAAAAGCCAATCACTTTCCCTTAAGCCCTGCCTGAGTCTTCTTGTTACCATAGCGACAGGGGAAATGATGTTATCCCCGGACACTGGCCTCCCTGGCGTTCCTTCTTTCTAGCCATGTGTGACAGACAGAACATTGACTGATACAGACACAGGCCTTGTTCCAAAACCTAGTGAGCTGCTTTTCTGTCTACTCCCTAAATGTAATGTCTTCTAAGGCAGCATCCTAACGGACAGGGAACCCCATTAGTGATGATTCAGAGTGCTTTTCAGGCATATGTGCCACACAAAACTGCAAAAATGTGAAACTGATAGAAGTCTTATAATTGATTTCATTGAAGATCTTAGTATATTGCTAAGAAAAAGGCAGGACTCCATGATCCTCTTCTAAATGTGTCTATTCATACTTTTCAACGATGAATAATTTAAACTGACATTTCTCTCAGCTGAAGGATTTTTTTTTCACAGAGTCTCTTACAATGCATTCTGGGCTGCCTAGGAATTTAGAATTTGGACAACACAAGTTCTTTTGTAATATCCGTTTAGCTAAACTAAATAAAGCCCGTTTTTAATAATATCCTGCAGGAAGTGACATCATTTTTGGTAGGAAAACAAGAGCACAAACATTAGCAATGGGTTGGATTAATTCTGTGAATTATAAGTTGGTTTGTCTCACTCTAAAACTTTGTTGACAAAAGTTGACAGAACTTGACAACCTCATGCAACTCTCAATCACTCACTAAACAGTGGCTAACTTTAGCTTTTTATTTCCATCCAGTTAATTTGCGACAATGTATAAAATCATGTTTTAATAAAAAATATCGAGTGTGAAACAACAAAGATAGAGTAATTTGTTTTACAGTTGCAGAGTTCAAAAGGTACAGCATATTAGGATTAACCCAAAGAGTTTTTAGGGTGTGTTTACACTTCGGTACTTCGGTTCGCTTGGTTCCTTTGGTCCGGAGGACCGTGTTGCGTTCATATTTCATTCGAATGGCACAAGAGTTGGTTTGGAAGCGGACTGAGACCCATCTTTTCAGCGGTCCGCTTGTTTGGCAGCGTTCACACTTATTCAAATGAACCGCACTAACAGAGCAATCGCACCATGGTTCATTTTAATCTAACCAAACATGCCAAGTGTGAGAACACAACCTTAGTTTCAGCCTAAAGGGAACCTTCTCGTGTCTAAATATGAAGTGAACATTCCCCTACAAGGGTTTTTCCTGTACTTGGGCTCTAGGCTATAGTATGAGTTCATTACCGGTATATAATTCATACATTAGAAGTGAAACAGGACAAGAGCAAACACAGCACTGTCTCAAAGAGTGCTGTCTGTCTGCAGCCAGACACAATAAAGGTGTGTCTCATTCCTCACTGCCATTCAAAAGGCCCAGGTGGGTAGAAGAGGCGTACTCACAGACAAACTTGCGAGTTATAACATGTCAAACAGGAATGTACAGGAAAAAACCTTGCACAAAATCTGGGGATTTATTGTGCGAGTTCTGAAAGCTGAGGGGGGAATGACTAAGAATGAATTGAGCCTGTTGATAGTGCTGTTTATTGGCATGTGCTGTCTTGCATTGTTTTAGCACCTGATTAAAGGAATTCTGGCAATTCCTTTAATTGCCAGAATCTGACGTACTTTACTGGGAATGTAAAGCATCACTTCACCAGTGCAATCCAGACACCTATATTGACTATTAAAGCTGCAGTCCGTAGCTTTTTTTGGGTTAAAAATGATCCAAAATACATATTTGAGAAAATACATAACCAGTCAGTCGGCGTTCCCACTACTTACTAGGTTGTGCCTAGTAATGTTTATGAATGACATTCACTGATGATACTCCATCTTATAGACACTGAATCAGTTTTATTGCCACTGAAAACAAACATTTTGGAGGGAAAAGACTAAATATAAAAGAAATCAGTACATAAAAGTGCTTTTTGCCTGTTTATCTGCAGCACAAGCACCGGTCTATCTGGGTTGTTGTATTGCAAATCACTTTTGCTGCTGTTTTGGGATACGGGTAAGTTTAGGGACAGGTTTGGTGGTATGGATAGGTTTAAGGGTGGGTTAAGGGAAGGGTCAACAGTGTAATTATAGATGTAATAACAAAATAATTACAGCTGAAATTGCATGCAAGTATTTTTTAATTAGAAGTACAATGTAAAAATATGTATGAAATATGAAATGATTAATTTAAATGTTAGTACATAGTTATTAAAGAGAATTAATATAAAGTGGAACCAATAAAACAGATAAATTTGTGCTGAAATACTGCACACAAAAGTGGCCCAACTGTTTAGTTTAGGAAAGAAAACACCTTTATCTGACGGTAAAGTCATAGAGAGAGAGAAAGACAAACAAACAGGCACAGGGACGGCTAAAACACAAAGCCGACATCCAAGTCACCCTTCTCATGCCGCCTGCTGGAAATCCATCTGAATCATGGATAAAAATATCTAGCCAGATAGCGGCAGGACATTCGATTCCACTCCCGACTTTGACAGAAATAGTCAGGAGAGACCAATGAAACAAGGAGATGAGGAATAAAGGACAAATGAAGGTAAAATGTGGAAAACTACACCAAGCAGGGCAGCCAGGCACCAGAGCCGTGTCACAAACAACTTTAAGGATGAGAGAATGAGGGCTTGAACTAGATCAATACTCACATGAGGGTAGTACTCCATGACCAGCAGGTACTCCATCCGGCCATCTGCCGTGAGACGCTCATCGCCAACGATAAAACGAGCAATGTTCTCATGCTCCAGAAGAGGGATTCGGTAGATGGAGCGCTCATTCACAAAGTTTTGCCGGTTGGCATAGGTAAAAACTTTTACAGCAACTGGGCGTTCATCAAGCGATCCTTTGTAGACAGAGCCATAGCGCCCTCGACCAATCAACTGCAAGAAAAAAATTATTCAGGTGTGAATTGTAGCAGATGTTACATGATAAACAAATACAGATGGTTCAGGCTCATTAGAATACAATTCAAAATCAAAATATGATAATTTCTGCACATGTTTGATGGCAGCTTGAAGAGCTAAACTCACTTCGAGAAGTTTTAAACTGTCTAAATCCAGAGACGGTTCTGATGGTGCGGCCTCTATCATGTCCATATTGTGCAGGCCCTGTTTACACTCGCCTGTAACAAACACAGTAACATTATTATGTGACCTTAATTTGCAAACAGCCAATCATAACACCGAGTACTGAATCTCACCCATCATCATGCGATAGCCGAAGAACAGCGCCACAATCAGGACTGCTACTATGGAGACAGACGCGAGGGCGATGAAGATGGCCTCATCTCTGTGTAAAGGCTGTTGATCTTCTGGAGGAGGAGAGAAGAGACCAGAAGAAAGAGAGGCACGTTAGACCTTCAAATATAATTTGCATTTACTGTCAATTTAACCCAGGAAATTATTTTGTAAAAACGAACCAAAATTATTTACTGTGCAGTAATGCACTTATAATTGAAGTCAATGGGGCAAGACATTCCAGAGGTTTTATAAGCAGAAATGTTTCATACTCATATTTTTGCCAAAGTGTTTCAATTAATTCTTTGAAGCAAAAATGTGTTTTTTGAACTTTAAATAATTTTGCACTGACAAGGAGCAACTTTATTAGACACTAGTGTTCACATACAGTAACACACGCTATTGTTCAATGGTTTGGGGTTGGTAAGGTTTTAAATGCTTTGAAAAAAAGTCTCTCCTTCTCACCAAGATTGCATTTATTTGATCAAAACTACAGTGAAAACTGTAATACTGTGAAAAAATTATTACAATTTAAAATATCAATTTTCTATTTTAATTTTAAAATGTAATTTATTCCTGTGATGTAAAGCTGAATTTTCAGCATCTTTACTTTACATCCTTCAGAATTCATTCTAATATGTTGATTTACTGCTCAAGAAACATTTCTTCATGTTCGATATTTATGTGGAAACTGTGTGATACATATTTTTTTAAGGAATCTTTGATGAATACCATTTCTTTGAATGGAATCACTTTTAATCTATTTAATGTGCCCTTGTTGAAAAAAGTTTTATCTAAAAGTAATTATTATTATTAATAATAATACATTTTTTTAAAATCATACTGAACCCAAACATTTGAATGGTAGTGTATACTTTGGTCAAGTGACTATACTTTCTAGTGTGTTTATGTATGTTTATCCCAGTCATAAAACTCATATTTAACATGCATTGAATCCAAAACATTCCTTTAATCCTTCCGGTCCAGGAACAATGTGCATGAAGATCGATTTGAAGAATGCAATTTGGTAAATCCTGAACACACACACATCTGTCCACCAGTTTTGTTAAACACTAAAAGTCCACCCACCAAGACGAAATTCTACAAACTTCTGTTTAAACCACAAAAATAAAAAAGAAATGTGAAGTCTGAAAATGTTCTGGTCTGTCATGTACATGAGCCATACAGACTCCTGCCGCCCAAAATCCAATTAAACCCAGCACTAGTTTTCTTTAGCTTTAGATTCTTTTCACTTTCTCCATTTTCTCACTCGGCTTCAGACACAGACATGTCCTTGCATACAAGAGTGAGAGCTTCGAGGCAAGAAAGCCTCTCTCACACTCAAAAGAGCTAAAGAGAGAGAAAGATGAGTGGGAATGATAAAACCACAGCTATGGACTTCAGTTTCAAGCCGAGAGAAAGAGAACACACACTTAAAATGGCAGGACGGTCTCTTTAAAACAAACACGGCCACACAAATGCTGACGATTAAATGGAACTTCAGATTGTATTGAGCTTAAAATGTTGCGCCTGCATACATATTTTAATAAATTTGACGCATGCAGAATACAGCAGGAAATGTGGAATTTAGCTGTGTTTATCTTCAACGCAATGAATGGCGGATGTATGGAACAAGAAAAAACAAATACAATATGCATGCAAATCCACACTTCTGCCCATATTTTTGGAGCTGGACCCTCCCAGGTCCACTGCACCAGCTAGAACAGCATGGCTCAGAATGGTTTGGGTTTCTCAGGACAGATCAATAAATATGAGATTTAAACCACAGCATTGCGTCAGTCTGCATGCTGGTGTTGGCTTCTGGAAAGTGATCTCTCACACACACTCATATATAGCCACACTCGTGTAACGCTCAGAGGATAAAACGCAGGCATTTATAGGTATGGACATAAAAAAACGCTCTCTCATTCTCATGCATACATAGACACTGTTTACATGTCTTGGAGCCGTCGGCATTTAGCTCGGAGGCAGAATGTCTGAGTGTCCCTCCCTCTTCCAGACTATACCAACAATCCTGTTGTACTTCCTGTATGTCTCCCTCCAGCCCTCCGTCTATTATGAGAGCTCTCCTTCCTTTCTCACGTCTCCATATTTTCATATACCACCGGCCAAAATTGTAAGCTAAATAAGATTACTTGATGTTTTTGAAAGACGTTTTTTATGCTCACCAAGACTGCATGTATTTGATCACAAATAAAATTCTTCTTTTGTCATGTTATGTGCTACAACAGAAGACATGGTGTGATCCATTAAAAGACTTTGTTTCTCTCTGTAGCTTCGTGTTTGTCCTCACTTCACACACGGATCTGTTCTTCTGTCCTTCACATTCTTAGAGACGATCATCAGGACAGATGCAGTTTCCCTGGGTAACCAGAACTCTTCTGTGATTTCACCGACTCCTACTCCTGATGCCTGGCAACAGTATGCAGTCACAACCTTCCTGCAATAAAGTCTGACTTGCCTAAATTTTTGCCTTTCCTCACTTTCTCTTTTCTATTTGTGTGAGCGCTGTATGAGATTAAAGAGACGGCACTTAAGATATGCTTTTAAAGTTATAGGTTAAAAGCACACACAGAGGAAAAACACTAAACCATATGAAATTAAAATGTTGTGGTTTTTAGTCCACACTGTAAAAAAAAATATTTTCATGATGTCTGTCAAATTAACTTAGATCATTTATGTGGTTCAAATAACATCATATTTTGAGTTTTCTGATTAAAAATGAAAATCTCCTCATTGTATTAACTCAATCTTTCAATTTCAATTAACTTAAAATTTTAAGGCAACCGGGTTAGTTACTTTAAAAAAAAAAGTTAAACCAATGTTAAATTTGAAACCATTTATGTTAATATATTCCTTAACATTGACAAAAATACTGATGACTCATCCTGCACTATACAGTTTTCTGTCCAATCAAATGCTCTCTAGAGTGAGAATGTCCCTCCCCCCATGGCTGTGATGTAACTTGAGACTTTTTTTTAACAAGCTCTATTGTCTCAACTTTCTGTTTTAATAGGAAAAAAATTAACACAATTGTCATGGAGATTTGAAAGGGATTCATCATTTACTCATGTCATTATGTCATATGTGTATTTTGAAAACAATATTTTGATGAACTGTTTTTGATCATGTCTCTTAAGAAGACTGGGATTAAACCGCTCGCTTCATATAGATTACTTTTTCTATATTTTTATGAACGTTTTAAAGCATCAAAGTTTTGGTTACGTGAACTTTCAATTTATGCACACAAATTAGAGATTATGAAAGAATATTAAAAGTGTCTTTATTTGCATTTCGAAGATGAACGAAAGTCATACAGGTTTGGTGAGGGTGAGTAAATTATGACAGAATTTTCATTTTTGGTTGAACTATGCTTTTAATGGTTTTCTTAAACAGAAGTACATCATGCCCAGTTTGTGCAAAGAAAGAACAAAACAAAAGTCTTACATTAAAATTTAAAAGAGAGAGGTATTCAAAAAATACTTTAAATCAAGACTCATGTGAGACACCTGGAAAACCGATTGTATGAAAGCACTGGAATGATGAATAATTTCCCCCCGAAGGGATTGTGTTGCGATTATGGGTACCACACAGGGTATTTTCCAACAGACAGGCAGTCACATCTTAGATGTGCATCCAATTCATCATACAAAGCCTGTGTGGGAGAATTTCAAAGACTACCGCCTCAGAGACACCAGGGAGACTCTAATAGGAATCATTCATGAGCAAGCAGACTTTCATGCTGCCATTACATCAACAGGACTCAACATCACTACCTGAATCCCCCCCCACCAGCAAGGACAACGAAAGCCACTCAAAGGGAATTCTCTGGCCTACATTCAGCTTTCAGTGTAGGATGGAGGGGAAGGGAGTGAGGGAACCTGACAAACTACATTCAAACATTCATTTGTTCCAGACAAACACAACATGGCTGAAATCTGCCTTTAACCACTGTTAACTTCAGATCCAAGACATGTCTACAGATGGCAACTTTCATGAAGGTCGGCTTTTCTGTCACCTTGCAACCATTCAGAACAACCAAAAAAATAGGCAATAGCAAGAGCATAGCAACACACACACACACACAAACATGCTTTTCAGAGACTGGCAAAAATTCACATGAATGGTCACGGACCGTCACGCTACAAAAGATGATTTTTGATCTATGATTTGGGAGGTCTTGTTGCATTGCACTCATATTGTTATTAAGGCTGCACGATTAATCAAAATAAAACCAAAGAGCAAAAGCTACAATTTAATTGAATAAATGTATACCACCACAGGTTGTTAAATGCTTGATTCTGATTGGCTGACAAACGGTCTAATAATTATTTTCCAGTAAATTATTTCAAACGAATTAGACATTTTTGAAGCTATGAAGCTTTGTCAACGACATTACAGTTACGTATCATTTCACCAAAATATTTCAGTTATTTCAAAGGTCCTTACACCTTACAACAGAAAATGAACCAAACCCCACAACGACACTGATCAAGCAAACAAATATGACAAAACCATAAGATAAAAATTACATGCAAGGCAAACAAGATTTGCAGCAAGTGCCAATCAACAGTACATTCTTTTTGTAAACTTTGTGCACTTCTCTCTGCCTTCTCATACAATCATATTTTGTTGCCAAAAAAGTGAAAAATAAAGCGTAAATAAAAGTGTTAAAGATAGCATTATTTGTTCTTTTGGCCACGATAATAGTGTAGCGAAATCTCTATATTGTGACAGCTCTAGTTGCACTATATCTAAATTGACTTTATCAGACTGTTTTACCTGCACTATTATTTGAATACAGTTTCATCAAGCTAACTCATTCTCGGTTCTCAAAATACTCTTGCCATTCACTGTGTAAAGGTTAAGGTTAAAAGAGGCAAAGCTAATGAATAAATTAATTAAGGGAAAAGAGCAGATGCTTGTTCGCTCACAGCTCCGCTGGCAGACAGCTCATCAGCACAATAAAACGATGGACTCAATCTGGCGAGCACAAGCATCACTACAGCGTTTTTTGGCACATACTGTTGTGGAATTTACTTCTTACAGGCAC